TTGATACAGTGATACAAGATTGATAAAATCATGTTGAGCTACCAATAATAATAATACGGTGTTACAAAGATAAATCTATTCCAGCTGATATATCTATTCAGTGATATTTGACGTGGTCGTGAAGGGCGGAATCTTGAGTTTGGATCGCTTCGTCTCGCGGCTACACTCTTGGTGGGGGATCACCATCGAGTGAAACTGGCTGGTGTGTGTCTTTTTTGTGAAGTTTTATATTGCTTGGAATGCGATATTGCGAGTATATGCGATATTGCAGTACATACTGCGTGAAGCGCTGCAATCCAATTCCTAATTGTATCAAACACTTTACTACAATCCATATTGCGATTTGCAGATGGGGCTAAAAACGCCGGCAATATTTTTTCATACCTCTGCCTTCCCTGTTTTTAATGATATTTTAAAGTCAATAGTATACGGTATACTAATGATATTATCCGTGAAATGAAACTTATTATTATTTTAAATTAGTAATAATAAGTGTTAATAATTTAAAAATAAGCGGTTTTAAAAAGAAGTGATTATTTTTACATCTTGTAGTGCCGCTTTTGACTCAAAAATATTAAATTTAGTTGCGTTATTCGTTACCTGCGAGCTACATGGTACAGTACAATCAGACCACGCAGCACAGGTTCCATGGTAAAAAAAAAGACGTATACTTCAGCAGTGACTTAGTGACTGATAATAGACTCTGAGAAATGAATACCGACATGGTAAATTGACTAAATCATCCTTGATCGCGAATTACTTCGCAGACAGGTGTTTGCTTTCGCGAGCATATTACCTTTCGAACGCTTTCGGTGTCCATTTTCGCGGTTCTCATTTCTCGGCTGGATCAACAAAGCTCAAAGCAATGGAAGGTGAGGATTTTGCAACACTTGAGGCTGCGCTCGCTTTGATAGAAGAGTGCGACGATGACTCTACAACTGACTCGAGCGTTGATGAGATGGCCATGGGTGATGGACAAGGAGCCTGACAAACGAACAAGGAATGATAACGCAAGAATCGACTCCGATAGGAACGAAATACGCTGACTCAAGGCTAAACTAGCAATCTCAGGGAGAAACCGTTCTTGAGATCGCCACAGACTGGAGCTTCTCGAACTGCGTGTCGAAGCAGCATTGCTACAGCAACGAGTTGACGATCTGGAGGACCAACATCTACGAACGAGACCGAGACTTAAGACACCGTGGGTGACAGTTAATTCAGGTGGAAAGATCAGCTCGGTTGATGACACTTATACGAAGTGTGGAGGGGCCTGGAAAAGAAGCACAAAAGATATCGATTTTGGTTTTGTACAGATACGGAACTGATCTGGTCTGTGAAGAGGTTAGTGTGCAATCCACACTGTGGATGCGTCCATGCATCAGGAAATATCGACTGTGTCCTCATACGCGATGAAAAGCTGCTTGCACCACGCACAACGACATTATTCATAAGAAGGAGGAATTTGTTATTAGCAGATTTAATCGATGATTGAAGTGACCTGGTTGGGCATGTTTCGCTAGAGAGTAACACTACCGGTTTTGCCAGCCACATTGGACGTATTTGAAACTGTTGTTTCCTTCTCGCAGGTGAGCTCGTCGTCCGAGGAATTCTCCAACTCCGCGGGTAGATCAACTGGATCGGGCAGCTCAATGGTCTCACGTGTCGTGCGCTGGGCAAGTCCTCGGGGTATGTCAGCAAGTTGCTGGACATACTCAGCCGATATTTGCTTGATCGTAGTGACGAAGGTTGCCATAGAGGGGTGAGGGGGTGAAGAGCGGGGAACCGCGTGTTAAGAGCGCGATTAAAGCGCTCTAGGGGTTGTTAGTCCGGGCAATAAGCTCGTTGTCCAACGTGTGCACATTCCAGGCTTCAACAGAGTATCCGTCGATCCA